TTGACTGAAAGGTGCGCTTGCTCTCTGCCTTCTGTTTTTCTCTCTTCTCTCTGTTCCTGCAAACCACAGAAGAGGCAATGGCAAGTCTTGGTCCCCTCAGCCTCTCACCTGCACGCACGCGCACACACACACACACACACACGCACACACACAAGTCCTCAAACGTTTCAGCTCAGTGTGTGGTATGTGCAGGGTTTGTAGGGGGTGGGAGGAGACTAAAAGCAAATATAACTTAAAATGGAAGTATACTTTTTATAATTTTTCTTTTTAAAACTTTGTGAAATTATTTCCAAATACATATTTTAATGTCACCAGAAAAGTATTGTGTACAATTTGGGGCAGTCACAAAATTGTGTATTTTATGTTACAATAAAGACTTCCTCTGAAGGGACAATACTGAGTCCTGTTTTTATTGTTTTCCATCACATGGCAAGGGTGGGTGGCTTTAATAGGAAAGAAATGTAAGTCATCAGTGTGACCCTGAAAAAAAGGAACTGACTGCGATTTGGCTGCCTCAGAGGTCGTGTCATGAGCTTTGGTGGCAGATGGAGGGTGGGGTGGCATTTCTGACCTTCCTGCTCTTGTCATGGTTTGAAAGTTAGACTGATGGTCCTCATCTGTTCGCCTCCTGACTCCACACTCTGCCTGTTAGGAAGCTCATCCTTAAAACTCAGCCCATTCAGGCATTGTGTGGGGGAATGAGAACAGTTCCAGCCCTCAAGAGGCTCCCAGCCGGGGAAAGGCACCTAACACAAAAAGTTAGGATGGGATATTGGTTCATCCAAAAGGGAATGTACCAAAACAACGACAACGCAACAAAGTAGAGGAGGGGCACTGAGCAGCTTCAGCCTACTCCTAAAGAACACATAGGAGTTAAGAAAGTAAAAGGTGTTCAGCCAAAGGGACTTGCCCAGGTGAAGGCTGAATGACGTGGGAAAGCATGGTTTGGCTGGAGTAAAGGCTGTTCTGTGGTTCTCGGACCTCAGTGTGCATCAGAATCTCCTGGAAGGCTTGCTGAAGCACAGGTGACTGGGCCGCACCCCAGAGTGTGGGTCAGTAGGTCTGGGGCGAGAATTTGCACGTCTAACAACTTCCCAGGTGTTGCTGGTCCAGGCACTGCACTTTGAGAAGCACTGTGGGAGGCGATGAAGCCAGAAAGCAGGCAGCGGAGGGTCACAGGGCCTTGTGTGCTAGGCTGAGCATGATGGTCAGTGATGAAATCTTTTCACATTTTCATTTTAAGAAATACTGTTCCAGCAACAGTGTGTGTGGGTGAAGGGAGGCGAGACAGGAAGTCGGGGAGCAGCTGGGAGGCTGCTTCAATAATCCAAGCAAGAGGGGATGAGGATCTAAACTGTGGCACCACAGCCATGGCCCTGAAGCATAGTTACAGACTTAGTGACCAATGTTGGGGGTGGCATCGAAGTCTAGACTAATCCAGGCTTCTGGCTTGGGAAACAATTGATAGGGATTTTCCTCAGTAAAATGGGGAGGGGGAAGATACTGGAAGAGAAGCAAGTTGGGGAGAAAGGTGGTGAGTACAGAGCAGACGTGGTAAATTGGGATGCCCAAGTAGACGTGTGGTTGTGAAGCCTAAGAGTTATCAGGGCTGCGAGACACAGACTGCAGGGGGTGGGGGGGTGGGAGTGGGGGAGACAGTGGAGCTTGTTAGTGTCTAGGTGGAATTGGAACTATGCTATGATATGGGCGTGTGAAAAAAGGAAAGAAAGGGAATTGAAGAAGGGATCAGGGAAAATACTGTACTTCAAGGGTCAGGCAAAAGAAGATGAGCTTATAAAGGATGTTACAAGAAAGCTAGAAGAGGTAGGAGAAAAAACAGAAGAGTACAGCATCACAAAAGAGCAGGGGAGGTGAGCAGTGTCAGAGACTACATAGCAACAGAAATAACTGGACGTACCCACGGGATTTAGCAGTTGGTGGCCTGTTGCTGAGGCTAAGTTCTGGGCGATTGCAGCTGAGAAGGTGCGGTGCTTCCTTCTGCCTGGCCCCAAATGGTGGCACAGAGGCTCTACCCTGGATAGGGTGCTACTGCAAATTCAGGGCCACAACGGCCTGTGCCCAAGGCCACACCAGGAGAGGTGAGCAGACTTGAAGCTACTCCCCACCCCAACCCCACTGAGCACTCAGCTCCTGAAGCAGGCATGTCACTCAGAGGGAAGTGTGCTATTGTCTCCACCGCCAACACCAGAGCCATGGCTGGGAGATGGGGGGTGGGTGTGGAGGCAGTACCCAGAGTTGTCAAAATATACCATTTAAAATGCCCAGTTTCCACAGGTGTGGATCCCGTATAGGGATGGCTGGTTAACTCAATGGGTGAGCGTGGTGCTGACAACACCCAGTCAAGGGTTAAGATCCCCTTACTGGTCATCATTAAAAAAAATAAATAAATAAAAATAAAATAAATAAAATAAAATGCCCAGTTTCCCCAAAACATGCAAAGAAACCAGAAAGTATGACCCATACACAGGAAAAACGCAGGCAACAGAGTGACCAGATGTTGGATTAACAGAAAAAGACTTCAAAGTAGCCACTATAAACATGTTCAAAGAACCAATGAGAATCATGATTAACGAAGTAGAAGTAGGTATAATGACAGAGGCACATCAGATAGAAAATATAAATAAGTAGAAATTATTTTTTTAAAAAATCAAATGGAAATTCTGGAGTTGAGGACTACATAACTGAAATGAAAATTTCACTAGAGGGACTCAGTATATTTGAAGAGGCAGAAGAAAGAACTAGCAAACTTGGGCCGGCCCGGTGGTGCACTGCTACAGTGTGCCGCTTGGGAGTGCGGTGGCGCTCCCGC